GTATGCGGATGCTGTATGCAGAAGCTGTCTTCAGCTTAATGCAGAAGCTGTATGCGGATGCTGTATGCAGAAGCTGTCTTCAGCTTAATGCAGAATCTCTATGCAGAAGCTGTATGCGCAAGCTGTCTTCGACTTTTGGACGTATAATACCAGATCTCCCACCTATCAATAGTATTATCACCATCCACGTTTATTCGAACAATATTCCCTGGTTTAAGTGGAGGAAGCACGCGCACTCGATGGTGTGTGTTGCAGTTCGCCTCGTATCACATTTGTGACCTGCTCCAGCAAAACCAGGATTAAGTAGGAAATTCTACAAATTTAGTTATGTGCGTATCTGAATATATTAGGTTCTCTGTCCGAGATACAGGGAGAAGGAAGACGAAGAAGACGGATGTCACACAAAACACTTCTGTATTTTAGAACCGCCATTTGTCCGAGAGCACCCGGATGTACAACGTATTTATTACGTCTAGTTTACATGGCCGTATATAGATGGCGTATCACTAGTTAAAGAAACACTGTACGGCAATTACTGTGAACCAAGCTCAGTACATGACAGAATAGATCATTTAATTACCTTTAAAATGATATATAATATTTGGCTATATCTAAAGAATTGACCGATCTACAGCAATTTGAAGATCGGAAACCGACTTATTCCGGAATATGCAGCTTTTGAGATAAGGGTCACAGTCGGGGATGAGCAGTCATGGACCCTTCAAAAAATATTTTTCTTTTTTTTTAAATTAAAAATAACCATAATAATCTAGAGATATCTGAACATAATGCCCTTAGGAACTTATTTTTGTAAAAATCTTATTTTTGTCCAGGTAGACCATTTTCAGCATTGTCATGTGTGCGTGCTCATTACTCAAAACAATGACTTGCAACTTAGTCCGTATTATGCTGGAGCGGGTCACATTTGTCTTTTTCATCCCTATCTCACTGCTTGTACTGTGACTACTCCCGCAGGGCTCTAAAAACACCGCGCAGAATCTCACAACAGCATAACCTAACACCTCCATGGCCACTTGTCAGGTAACTCATGTTTATTCGGCGTAAATGCGGTAAACTGTAACACAAAAATGAGGAGTGGTAAGTATACATTCGCTACTACTCCGTGATTACAGTCTCATAATCATCAATATGCAATGCCTGCCTCAGTTATCAAAAAACAGTAGTGAGCTTGGAAAATATTTAAAACATTAAACAGAACACACCCCGGTATGCTAAATAACCAGTAAAATGTAGTTTGGCACGTACTAGCACTGTTATACACATTAACTGCAAGCTCCGCCAGTCTTTACGAAACTAAATTCAAGAATTACAAATGTCGTGGGTTGTAATAACACGACGAAGACGAGCATAATGATTGAACCTGTACGAGTCTCACAGAACAAGTGTCCGTTACATTTTGGTGAGACCCACCACAACGCGTCAATGTAAATCTGCTTAAATTAACGATGACAGTTTCTGATTCACACGTAAACGTGTTCTGCGGCCATTCATCTGAATACTTGCACCGAATATTTATCAAAACCTACAGACTGTGCGCTGTCAGGGCTAGTTGTACGATGAACGTAAATTGGCAACAAAGCCAAACTAAAGATGGCAGCTTCCTACTAAGTCACGCTGCAACAAGCCAGTGTAACATAAGGTCGTAGTCACGACTCCTACCGCCATCTATCGGTGAGACAGAACACTGCTTGTAAGTTGGTCCACCCTAGTTTCCACTTCTTCTCCAACGTCAGAAGTTGCGTTCTTATTTCATAGCTCATTAGCTCAGCAGGTCCCACCATGGGCGTCCGCAGGGGGGGGGGCAACTACGGGGGATAAGGAAGGGGGGAAATCAAAAATTTGAAAAAATTACATGGAAAATACAAAATGAATAAAATAACATAAACATTTCTCAACAGTTCATTCAGTTAGAGCATGTTACTACTCTCGGAGCAGGAATTGGAGTCGTCGGGGATATCTTCCGAACTTGTCAATGACCCTGTTTATTAGCTCAGTCTTCTGGCTGTTCAATTTGTCGCGGTGGACACTTAGCATGCAGAGGCCGGACAGACGTTGATCACTCATCGTTGATCTTAACCAGGTCTTCATCCTGTTCAGTGTGCTGAAGGACCTTTCCACTGTACATGATGTTGCAGGCAGAGTCAGTGCGATGAGGATAGCCTTGCACACAGCAGGGAACAGAGTTGTCTGTTTCACCAGCTCGATCATACCCAGAGAGTTATCATCCAGTGGCTTATGCTTCTGCACGTCATACCACGCTAGAGCTTCTTCTACAAGGTTGTCAATGCCATACATTTCCTTGACAGATGAAACGATGTGCTTGAATTCACCTCTTTCTGTTTGCTCCATTTCTCTCGGATGTAGTGCGAAAATGTGAAAATATGGCGTGTTACTTTCACCAAAGCGACTTTCCAGAGACTGTATCAAGGAATCCATGTACGGGACATAGATGGTGCGGCGACAGTACTCCTCAATGGAGCCTCCTAGATTCGGCCGGTGGACCTGGCGTGCGCATCGCCGAGGCATAGTCAAGTCTATGCCCAGTTCTTCTGCCATGGTTTTTACCTCACGAATGATATCTTCTGAGAACACACGGTCTGCACCATCCCAGTGAGCTCGGAAAGCCTTCATCAACAGGTCGATGTGATCTCGGACTCCAATCATGTCCATGTTGACTGCCTGTAGCTGTTGGGTCACTGGCTCCAGCATCGCTGAGTACTTCACAATGATCGTCAGACAGATGAAGAACACTGTGGTTCCTGCTGCACACCTCAGCTGATTCGCCGTCTGACGCGTACTCTGTGACTCATGCTGGTTTGCCTCAAGTTGCTCCAGTTGTGCATAGATATCACAAAAGCTCTCTGAAAAGATGCGGATGCTTTTGTACTTTGCGCTCCATCTGGTTTCACACAACAAAGGTATATTTGGAACCAGTCTCCTGCGCTTGGGACTGTCACGGAAGAATTTAATGATAGATTTCACAGTTCCAGTCGTATTCCTCACATCTGCGACAGAATTAAGATCATTAACCACCAAATTCAATCGATGTGAAGAGCAGTGCACGAAAACAGCTTTGTGATAGGTGTTCCTGATACGGTCCTGTACACCATTGTCTTTTCCTGCCATGGTTGAGCATCCGTCCATCGTAGCCTTGGCCATGGAGCTTGTCGAGGTTAAGACCAAATTTTTTTGCTTGGTCGATGATAGTATCTGCAATTGTTGGAGCGGCCATCCTCTCCAGTGGAATGAATCCAAGGAATTCCTCATGTATGGTGGCTGAGTCATTCTGTTGTTCCTGCAGCTCAACAAATCGTACTCAATGGACAGTTGCTCGGTGCCTGATATGTCAGCAGTTTCGTCTGCAATGATAGAGAATCCATTTGATTCATTTACAGCTTTCACAATATTGTCTCTAACTACTTCTTCGGAGAGAACTACCAGCTCGTTCTGTACACGAACTGATGTGTATCTCGCATTTTTGCTTGTGCCCTCCATGTGATCCTTCAGGCCCGTGTCCCCTGCTTCTATCCTGAATCGCAGTAGGTCACAGAGGTTCCCCGATATACTCTCCTTTCCCCTCAATGCAATGTCACGGCAGCAACAGAACAGAATGCTGGATAGGATACGGAACAGTTTCTCTCGGTTTTGAGTGACTGCTTTGTTGACTGCTCGGTCCATCTGGCTCACGATGGTCAACTCTGGCCTTTGCACGGTGGTGAGGAAATTGTTGGCATCTTGCAGTGCGCCTTTGTGCCTGAAGGAAAACATGTGCTTCCTCGCGCACTCATTGATGTCTTTGTTTTTGAAGTCAAGTTGAATGCGAAGTCGTTGAACAAAAGGACGATGAACGCACCCATTAGACCTCGGTGCACTGGTTGAGGAAACAGCACACCGTATTTGCACAGAGCACGTTTCAAGTGACTTGAGTAGGCCAGACATGGAGAATATTGGTTTATCCACGTGTGGTGGAAACAGCGGGAGGCCTGTGAATCGTTCTGATAGCTGTAATCAGTTGGTGGGACGTATGTGTTCATCAGGAGGTCATATCTTCGATCATTGGTAAAATGTTCTGTGGTTTTGACATATGATCCAATGTCCAGATGATGAGGCAAGTCATTGGCCACTTTTGCAAGTGGTGTTTGGGGTGGCATCTGATTGATTGCTGTGAGTAACTGCTCGTCATGTCCTCCTCTGCGCTGCTCTGCTGGATCAGCATGCATCTCTGATGTACCCGGGGTGTCTTGATTGTTGTCAGAGTCATCAGACTTACGTTTTTTTAAGAACCTCCTGATATCCATTTCACATTTCTGAAAAATAAGAAAAATGAGGTTAAACATAACAATACAAACTTAATACACTGGGGGCCGTTGTCTTGGGGAGAAGGTCTGTCGCATACCAAAACCACCACTCCCCTTGACCTTAGTTTGACCTTGACGTCGACTTACATTTCCTCTTCGGCCTCCTAGGGTAACCAGATTCCATATACTCGCACATCTGAGGCAGACCAGTTGTCTAACAAACCTTTGTCTTTGTGACTTATTTAACTTTACCTGCCTTCTACGTCCTTACAGAGATATTCCATTGATACTAGATCACGGGGGATACATGTAGTTGGCGACAACTGCTCGTTTCTAGTTGTTGCTTCCATTAGCAGATCTGACCGCACAAAAGAAGAGCTCTATATGGTCTTGAGACAGCTTGTAAGTCAGGAGATACTTCAATTTAGGAGCTTCAGATTTCACGAGCGAGTCAAACAGTCCTTGCATACTACGAATGCCAACCATGAACCCAATGAAAGGCGTCTTCTTCCGTGATCAATGCATTGGCTCCCCATTGCTGTGTGTTAGTCGAGACAAGTAGGTGTATGTTTGTTGTAAGAAGTCCCGCCATTCAGATTCATTTTCCTTTTTCAGAGGTGCTTCAATCTTTTCAATTTTCATTCAATCGAAAAGTTGATCGATAAAGCTTCAAGTCTTTCGCACAAAACTCGATTGCGTCTGCAACGCTTGAGCTAATTGTCTTGGCCGCTAGATTAACTTTCATTTTTTTGCCTGTGCCATTGTATGTGTGAAGCTCTCAGTTTGTTCCCGAGGCGAAGTCCTTGTTTCTCTTGCCCCTGCAATAGCTGTCCATGAAATATTCTGTCATATTCTTCTGAGGACATGGTCTGACGGAGCAATTGCAAAACTTTTTTGTTTCAGCGGTGACCTACCATTTTTATGGCTTTAAAAGACCATGAAATGTACTTTCCGCTGACATGCGAAGAGTAAGTGTCTGATAACCTTTTGACCCTCAAGAGGAGGGTTAAACATGGATTTGTTTACTGTTAGAAAGAATTTGACTGCCGGGTTTGCTAGTAGAATCTATACATGCTTGGATGTATAAGGCTACAATGTCACAGTAAAATTTCAAAAGCTAAATTTGGTTGAAGAAGGTTTATGCTCCTTAAATCGTATAATTTCTATGGCATTCTGTACTGTAAGTGTGTTACATGCAACTTATGCCACTGCCAGTGGCCACTGCCTGTGCATGTGGTGGTTATAGTACTGTGTAGTGTTTGCCTGCGTTAATTAGTTACATGTGGCAGCTCTCTATTTCAGCCTGTAGGCTTGCGTAGGTAAATGGATGAGTGCTTACCTATTCTGTCTTGCAAATAGTTGTTGCTACTAAGTACGATGGGAGCTTCCATCTTTAATATTAAACGTACGCGCCATCTCGTGGCAACTTTCATAACGATCCCAACGAACATTCTTTTGAGAAGGTTCCTGATACCATCC